GCAGCTTGCAGGTCGGCTGGTTCGTTTGTTTGCTTCGTGCTTAAGTTGTTTCAAATGCATCTTTCAATGAAGGGCGGACGCTCGTGTTAAGCATTGCCAGTTTGCTTGTCCTTACGATCTATCCAACAATCTTGGCAGGGAGGTCACCAACTGCTGCAGCGCTTTTGCTTGGCTCTGCTGCTCCAGGGGGCAACGCCATCCTTGTCAGCGGAGTTTGCAGCTTTGTCAGCACTGGATAGGAATAGAGGCTACGTCTTCTGGGTTGGCTGGCATGTTCTCACGGTTTTACCATAGGACACTGACCAAAAAGGATGAACGGTAGAAGCATGCGTGACTAGCACAAACTAGCACAACCGCACTGGGCTTGAGTACAATCGCTTTACATTGGGCCTCCTTTAATGGAGGGGTGCGCTATTATTTAAAGTGGTTCCTGAGAAACAGAACTTGCGACTTTGAGGTCCAGAATAGCCGACTGGCTTCCTCGAAGCGGCCAAATCTGAGCCCGTTTCCGTGTTTGATATTTTTGCACATCTAAGCGTAGCCCTCAGATCTGGGGAACCTTGGTTGTAAAAGCTGACCCCAAGCCATCATTTTGCTTTGCACAGATCTGGCCAAACAGGCGGGTGCCCTGCCCCGGATCCATTTTCATTTGCACTGCTGTGGGGTTCTCAGAGGGGCAACCCAGATCCGGCGCGTCCCTTCCCTCGAAGGCTTAGACCCTCAGATCTGGGAGAGAGAGAGAGACTTTGCAGCGCTTGGGAATCCCCAAATGAGTCGCAACAGAATTCAGCAATTGGCGTCAAGGCAAGACCATGTGGCCCAAACCCCAGGCCCGAATCAAATACCAAGGAAGCCGAGCCCCTTGGATGACCTGAAACGAAGGGCCACAGCGCTTAGGGCTCCCATGCCTTCAGGTCAGTGAAGGACCTCACATTGGACAGGGGTGGCCTTTCTAAGCACCCCGTTCTGGCCGGGCATATGCCAAGGGCGTCAACAGGCAAACCTTGGCTTCTAAGTGTTGTGATTGGGTCTTCAACTTCACGGAGAGACAGTCAGACTGGGGGGAAGATGGTCAGGCGTACAGGACGGCTTGGCAGTTGAAATGGTACGTGTTCATTTGCAAAATGCGGCCTTTCCAATTGAAATGTGAAGTTTCCCAAACCTGCTTTGAGTACGGACCGAACTTTGATTTAAAAACCACAGTTTGTATCTCCACTTGTCAAAGTCAGCTTTGAGGTCGGCCTTCGTGGAACAGTTTTTCATACGTTTTGGCACTTGACTCACTTGCATCACATATCCGCCCAGAATACTCTTTCCCCAACCAACTTCATTTGAGCCAAGCTCGCTCGTTGAAACCACAAGCGCTGCGTTTGACCCCCGGCCTCGAACTTCGAACCTGAAACCCCGGGATAGCGACGGGGCGGTCGGAGACCGAGCTGGTCAGGCAGACCTGACCGAGCAGCAGCTCTTCCTTCGAAGCCGAGAGATTTCCACTACCAAGGAGCACCTCGAATGGGCGACGTCTAGACCAGGCAAGAATACATTGGGCATGAAGAGGCTCTCCTAGCTCCATGGACCGCTTGAAATGTCACAATCCAAGCTTTTGCGTGCTCGCCTTTGGCTTCCCTTTGCAACCTCAGACTCGGTGTCCCCAAAGAAAGCTGTGCTTCAATGGAACAGTTCGAATTTTACAACTCCCTTTTCATTAGCATCAACATCAATCTTCCTAGTGGACCACGGGTCTCGGCGTTTTGCTTGCGAATTGGCGAGATCATCAACACCTGAGATAAAGGCGTCTACGGGTTTGGTCTGGTGGCGAATTCTGGCGCTGCCTCGAACCCGGGGTGCCTGGATAGGAAATTGACCGGACCTTCGACAGTACGATCTGAACTATGTTTTACGAGGCATTGTTGTACTTATGCCGAAGAACTTTGTTTTGCTCTGATGTGTTATTGGCTTTTCAACTTTTGGCTATTGATGTTGTGGCTTATGGCCAAGCCTGTCACGCCAAATCAGTGCTAAGCCATCCGCGAACCCTGAACTATCTCCAAGCCAACCCGAAGCCAAATCGAAGCAACCCAAAGACCAACCTGAAACCCCAAGGAAAGGTGGAACTGCAACAGAGAAGCAAGGACAGCGACAAGGAACAGCACACCAACGATATGCAGATATAGTAAGTACAAGGGAGGAAACTTGACAAAATTCTAGAGGGGGCACAGAGCGACAAGAGCGTGTTAACAACGACAAAAACATACAGTAAGCACTAGCTGCAGAGAGCTACAGGGGAAGCTGGAGAGGAAGCTGTGGTGAGCAATAGGGGGGAGCCTATGCCACATCCTCAGTCCTGGGCACATCTTTAACCAACCCAAGCGTTTGCCTTGTTGACTGATTTGTTTGGCGGGTTGAAAGGCAACTTCCAAGGCAGGCTGGCCATCTGGAAATTTGGTTGAAATGTAAGGTCTTTGATTCGCGAGATCCGGCCGGCTTTCTTAGGCACCTGATGCGGCTTCAACAGCCGCGGTCCCTGCCGCGCTTCACGCGGAAAGGCTTCAAGGTGGTGCCCACGGGGTGCGCGCCTCAGGCAACGTTCAAGATGCTTCCCAGTAGCGTACGCCATGGGGCCTGTAGGTGCAAAAACAACAGGCTGAGCTACAAGCAAGGAGACCTTGAATGTTTAACCGCTCGCACAGAGTATGGGAAAGTGTGAAACACCTCGAGTGTTAACAAAGACGCAAAAGAAAACACAAGTCATCACTTATAGCTCCAGATCTAGAGCTGTTCCCACATGGGGTCTGCCATTTTCTTTTGTGGTTGTTTGGACAGTCCGAGGGGCGTGAAGCACATCGAATTGAGAAAGTCATTTGTTTTGCATAGATCAGTATTTTTCAAAATTAAAAATCCTGTCCAAAGGAGTTTGAACATGTGGTTAGAGTTTAAACGACAAGTCAAGCATAATGTCTAGCTTAAGCCAAAGTTTAACTTTGAAATAGGATTTCCTTTTTCAAGTTTGGTACGAACTGAAGTTTAACCAAGTTTTAGATGGATTTTAATGAAGACAGAACACACTGCTGTAATTGGCCTACCCCTTAAAATGGGTGAAACACTACTAGAGACTTGAGGAAAATGCAACGAACTCGGTCCTTAGTGAAGTGTTTTTGAATGCCAATTGACATTTAAGCAACGTCCGCCCAGTAGTTGTCTACTCGGTCTCTTTCCTTTTTCAAATTCTATTTAAGTCCTAGTAACAGTTCAATTAAAGTTGCATTTGGAAAGGAGTTCCTACTCAAATTCAAGTTTAACGCATGAAGTCTAATCACATTTAAGCTTTATATGCACTTTGAACATTATATTTTGTTGTATTTGTTTAAAGGCAAAAACACACACACACACACACACACACACACACACACACACACACACACACACACACACACACGCACGCACGCACGCACGCACGCACGCACGCTCGCACGCACGCACGCACGCACGCACGCACGCACGCACGCACGCACGCACGCACTCACGCACGCACGCACGCACGCACGCACGCACGCACGCACGCACGCACGCACGCACGCACGCACGCACGCACGCACGCACACGCACGCACGCACGCACGCACGCACGCACGCACGCACGCACGCACGCACGCACGCACGCACGCACGCACGCACGCACGCACGCGCACGCACGCACGCACGCACGCACGCACGCACGCACGCACGCACGCACGCACGCACGCACGCACGCACGCACGCGCACGCACGCACGCACGCACGCACGCACGCACGCACGCACGCACGCACGCACGCACGCACGCACGCACGCACGCACGCACGCACGCACGCACGCACGCACGCACGCACGCACGCACGCACGCACGCACGCACGCACGCACGCACGCACGCACGCACGCACGCACGCACGCACGCACGCACGCACGCACGCACGCACGCACGCACGCACGCACGCACGCAGCACGCACGCACGCACGCACGCACGCACGCACGCACGCACGCACGCACGCACGCACGCACGCACGCACGCACGCACGCACGCACGCACGCAGCACGCACGCACGCACGCACGCACGCACGCACGCACGCACGCACGCACGCACGCACGCACGCACGCACGCACGCACGCACGCACGCACGCACGCACGCACGCACGCACGCACGCACGCACGCACGCACGCACGCACGCACGCACGCACGCACGCACGCACGCACGCACGCACGCACGCACGCACTCACACACACACACACACACAATGAATCTTGCACCCGAATTGAATTGACGTATTGCATTTTTCCTCAAGCTTCATTAGAAAAAACAGCAACTTACTGTTTCTGTCACTTTCCATTCAACACCTAGTTAAACATCAATGTAATATGTGGAAAGGAATGTCTGCTTACACAAACTTTAGCTTAATATAGGAGTGTATGCTTCATTTGTGTTCTTATGAAGCTTTAGTTAAACTCTATTGTTTCTGCGTTTTGGCACGGGCACAAGAAGCATGGACCTCAGCCTGTCAGTAGGCGAAGAGATGCTCTCCTCTTTTCCTTTCTCAGCTGACGACTCCTCTTCAGGGTCTCCAACTTTTTGAAGCCTCCAACAGTGGAAACCACCAGTAAATTGCAACTTTGGAAGGGAAAGCCAGTGACCCCTGCTCTTGCAAGGTTGGGCCTTTGAATTCGGAAACAACGCGTAGACACTTGCGGTGAGCTTGGCGGGCTGTGGAAGCCAGGCCGGAACTTCAGGAGTTCCTCCTGGAGTTCTACCACAAGGCCAAGGCAGCCAGACGCCAGGAGGACCATTCTGTCGTCAGCTTTCTGTTTATCACATGTCCGAGGTGTCCGGCGGGGTCCCAAAACACAGAGGCCCTCGAAGCTCTTGGTTTTCCCTTTTGGTGGTTCCCCCCATGCGCAAGGGAAGACGGTGCAGCGAAGGGGGCCTGGTGGAACCCGGGGCAAGATGGGTCGCATGACACACCAGGGCGGAAGCCTGAGAACGCTTGAGCCGGACGGGGAAAGGAAGGAGCTTGTGGCCTCACAGGTGGCTATCGAGTGTGGAGGAAGACTCCGCAGAGCATCACTTGACAGCGCTATGGCTTGCTGGTCTACACGGATTGGATTGCTTCAGGGGCGGTTTTGAATGTAATCATTCTATATGTTGGGGAGGGGCCTTTCGTTATTTTGCCCAACAATCAGCTTGTGCCGCTCCAACTCTCAAGTTGCGCCCAGGAGTTCAACCATTGGGGGCAGACCCAGGTGAACGCCCACGCGGCCGGCCACTTTTTTGTGACACTTGGCTGGGGCAGTGGTTGGCTCGCGGCCCAAATCTGCTCAAAACTGGTCAAGCTGAAGCTACCAAATTATCCAGATCACTTGAAATTTGTTCCCAATCCCGCAGAAATAGTCGTCCCAACTGCCTGGCTGAATGGCAAGCGGCACGATCCATGAGACGAAACCTGGCAGTCTTGAAGTTGAGCACTGGATGGGAGGGTTGTTGCCACATGTTTACCAATCACCCACGGCAGCACGACAAACATGTTGCTCATGTTTAGGTCACCTTAGGTCTCTTGTATCTGGCGGATCGTCTTACCAATGCTGAGATGTGACGGGATCAGGTGCACATGCCTTGAGCGGCAGGCAACAGCTGCATTTGTATGGCCCCTTGCCTTCAAGCACAATTGCAGGTGAGACACCATCATACCCCGTTGCGCGTTTAAGAGTACGAATCAGTGGCCTTCTTGGCGTCCCCTTTACCATTCCGGACCGCTTAAAGCTTAGGAGCCTGTTGGAGCCCGAGCACCGGGAAGCCTACCATAAGGTCGTGGCGCATATGAAGCCGCGCCTGGAGAAGTGGGTTGGTGTGCCGCACCTTGGGCAGAAAGTCGGGCGTCGACCTCGATTGGGGTGACGGCTAGATGTGTTCGTGGGAAACTGGTCACTGCAGTTCCTCCAAAAAGATGATGCCCCCAGCCAGCGCCTTACCCACGCTTGTTGGCATTGAGAGCTGTCAGCTTCCTCGGCCTAGTGCAGGCCACAGCTTTTATTGAAAACCCTAGAGTTTGCTCAACAAATCAAAGTTTGACAAACAGACAGAGCCCCTTTGTCACGCCCCTCTCCAGCACCGATGCTCGATTTCCCTTGTACTTTTCAGATTGCAAGAAGGGGCTTCTTGAGCCTTTTTCTTCGCTTGCTCTTAGAATTGTGCCCAGCCATTGGATTTTGTTTTTTTCTGAGGCCCTTCACCAATGTTGCCTGAGGCTGGAGTTCACTTCCCTCTATGGCATGCGGGAGTATTATGGTGGTGCCGCTCTGCGACACCACGTGGACCGCCCAGAGGTTCTGATTGCCGCTCGGAATGCCCAGGGTTTCCCTGCGTTTGCTCGAATATCCTGACTTCAAATCCATCGCGGAATGCGTTGCGAAGAAACAGCATAGCTTGAGTTGCCCTGTGGTGGGGTGGGAGCTTTAGTCAGGCAGCAAAGAATTCATAGGACACGTGCCGGATGCACGGGTTCTTGTGGTTTGAGACATGGAATGAAGATTTTCCGAGTGCGGATCAAGCCCTAGGGAAGCCAACCATTGGCCAGATTTCAAGCATCTTGACAGCGGGGTGCAGTTTCAATCTTCTTTTTCGACGCATTCTACACTGATTCAAACTTGATGTTCAATGAACCCGTCAAGGGAAGAACTCCAGCCACAGTTAGGCCCACGGTCGTGGTGTGCGTGCTCGTGCCGCGAGCTTCTTTTGACAAGTTGTTGTGTCCCGTTGACCCCTGCCAGCCCCTATCGGGCCCAATGAGACCTAATAAGCTCAAGTAGGCCTAATGCGGTTTTGTCAGGGGTGAGTTTCCACTGGGGCTCCCTTGTCAACCATAGTTCCAGGTCTCTACGACCATCAGCGTGTACCAGGACCCAGTGGCTGAAGCTAGATGCGATAGAGGGTTGGTTTGAACGCTGGTGCCCAAACTGGAGTGCGAGCGTCCGCGTCAAGAGGAACTTTTTGCGCATGCAAGTTAGCCGTTGTCCTTGTACGGCATGTCGATGTTTCTTTCTCAAACTGGCACACAGCCAGTTGGTGTTCTGGGCTGTGCCTTTTTTTGTTCAGATGTCGGGACGTGTTGCAGAAGGAACGGCACCACTCGCCAAACCGTCGAAACCATGCGATCCTGCCGATAGTGTCTTTGACGTTGATGGTAGGGTGCGCGGGGCAATTGTTGGCCCGGAATGGGTTTTTCGCGTGATAGCGATAGCGCTCTTTGGGGGTTTCGGGTCTGCCTGGCCCTTTCCGGATGCACGGGGACGGCCTGCGAGGGCTTCGATGTCTCCGGCATTTGAGGGGCGAGGGGGGGGTTTTCTTTTCACAAACTTCATTTGCTTCTGGTTTATTTGCGCAGAAAGTTGGACTCCTTAGATGCCATCCGACATGCTTGGCTACCTGCTTGAGCATACGCAGGGGGTTTCCACAGCGCATTTTCTGGAGGAC